TTCCTGCTGGAGTTCCTGTCAGATCTTCGTAGCTGACAGCCCAGCTTGCCCCCTTGTCAAAGCTCCGAACTCCTATCCTCACTGCCTTGGCTTTCAGCTGTACTTCTGTCCACACAAAGAAAACATGAATTAAAAAACAGAATCAGGGAGATTGAAAGTGTGCACTTGGCATCCAGAGCTGGAAAGATCAATGGTGAAGCCCCAAAGCAATTTATGTGGGAACCTGTGCTTGTCTGTGTAGTCACAGCTGGGAAAAAGAGGTGTGTGAAACAAGTTTGTGGTGTTAATGAATGAGAGTGGTTCTGAAGCCAGAGGTCAGCTGTGAAAAAACAGGGACTGAGCCTGTGGTAGGTAACGAGTGGGCAGTGAAGCAGCAGGTGATGTTCAGTGCAAATTAATTTCAATTACAAGGGGACACAGCCCCAGATTCATACATAAAATACTGGGCTCTGATCTGGCTATCACCACTTGGGATGATGTGGAAAGGGGAGAAATTTGCAGCTGGGGAAAGATGTTTGTGATAGTGGTTGGATGACCTGGAGAGGGCTGGCAGGGATCTGCAGTTCAGTGCCTGTTCTGTGCAGGAGCCAGGAGGGATTCAGTGGAGTGAGCAGAAGCAGCTTCAGACAGAAGAGGTTTTTTCCATGCAGTGAAACTCCTCACCATGGTACATAGGGGTGTACGGAGCTCAGGGGGAGACTGAACAATACAGAGCATCAGGTTCAGAGCAGTTCTGAACTGCAGGTTGCTGGAGTTTGGGGAATTGCTTGGGGGAAAAATCACTACCTGCTGTCTAGTCTCGGTCGCTTCTGGCACTGTGGGTAGAGGTGCTGAACCAGGGCAGGACCTTCAGGCTGATTGTACAGGCTCAAATTTAAAAGGCTGGTCAGTAAAAATCCTGGTTCATGTACATATCATGTATGTGTGTCTAAACATGTACGAAACATACGTGTGACATTGGAGTTCTCCCCACAAGGCTGGACTGACCAAGCATGTGGGAGAGGAACCTGCTGAGTGAGCTTTCTCTCCATGCTTTTCTGTGTCTGTGCTGAGACCAGGCAGGTGCTTCTTTACTCCAGAAGAGCTGGCATGCAGACCTCTGGAGTACAGGCATTTTGGGGATGTGCCAGGTGCTGTTGATTTGCTGTTGCTTTCAGAGTCTCCATTAGAAAGGCTCAGGCACCCTCTACTCTCCAATGCAGAGATCACAGCTGGAGAGCTGGGTAGTAACTTGGCAACATCTGCCAGTCAGATGGTGTGTAGTGACATTCAGACTCAGGCAAAAATAGAATACTCAAAAAGGATTCCTTTGGACCAGAAAGACTTCACACCTGAGTCTTTCTTGGCCTCTGCCTTTGCTGGCTGGCAGCAGTTTGGCTGCTCTGCTTGCCAGCCTGCAGCAGCAGCAGGTGGTGTGGTTCCTTTTCCCCAGCCTGCCCTGCTGGTGGAGAAGCCCGATGTGGGGCCTCAGCTCAGCCTTAATCAAGCTGAGGAACATGCCACTGGGAAGTCTGCTGGTCCCAGGTGATCTGCTGAGTCTGAGGGATAATCACCCCAGCACTGGTTCATTCCAGGGGGTACATGTGTTGCCTGTAAACTCACCTACCCCAACTCATACTGCGCAGGAAACTTCCTTCTTGTCTCTCTGGGACATACATAGAATTTAGGAAACTTTGTGTTACTTTAATTTAAATTAGATCCTTCCTCTTAATGAAATGGTATTGATTGCCTCTCTGTAAGGGGGGTGGCCTTCAGCTGTGGGACCAGTGTGCCTGGGAGAGTCAGAACAGGGCTTGTAACCCTCTAGCTGGCTGGTCCCTGTGAGTGGCTCTTCAGGCAGCGCCGCTCCCTGCGCTGTCAGGATGTGGCGGCACTGTGGGGTTGGGGGGGGGTTCCCCTCTGGCTGCTCCCCCACATCACACACAGTCTCCTTGGACATCCAAAGTGATACATACTCTGCAGATGCCTCTGCCTTATGTATCTTAAGGTTTTCCCCATAACCAAATCTTGTTTTCTTTACTCTAACAAATGGTTTATTCCTATTTTACTGAACACAAATGCAGGAGACATAACCATGCTGCCCCCCTGGCCTGGAGGAGATGACAGTTAACTTTTGTCTGCCTGCACTGTCTCACTGTGGAGGAGACAGGTTGCCCTCTGCACCCTTAATGTAGCCAGTGTAGACAAACCTGAAAGAAAGAAAAATTAAACTTTTTCCTCTGGGCTTTTGTTTGGTACAAAATAGACACAATTCTGTCTTAATTTGTGCATCACAGCCTCCTGCCCTGCAGGCCCCAGGAAAGGAGCTTCAGGGCCAGCAGAGGCTGAGTGGCAGTCAGGCTGGGAAAGTTCCTGTGGCCTGCACTCATGCTTTGTTTTTGCTAAAGCCAGGTCTTTGCTACTACCTCTGGGCTGCAGAAGTGGCAGGGGCTGCTGCAGCAGCGCACGTGAGCATGGTCTGAAGGGATAACTGCTGCTCTGCTCTGCTGTGGGGGCACAAAGGGGTTGGTGTTGGCCTCCCCAGCAGCCAAGCAGGTCAAGGGAGGTGTGGAGGGAGGTGGGCTGCCACATATGAAGGAGAGGGGTCCACTGAACACAGCAGTGCTTCACCTTGAGCAGGGAAACCTCTGCCTTGTTCTCTGCCCATCCGGGAGCGGTGCTGGGCAGGCGGGTGGGCTTAGGGGGATCATTTCCCCTCAGCAGCACTGCAAGTGTTCTGTGTGTCCTTCAACACTGGACCTTTTATTTCCTCTCTTTATTAGAGGAGTGCTCAAGCACTCAGATCCCCATCAGTGCCTCCAGTGTATCTTGTTTGCCCTATGTTATATTCAAACTAATTCCCTTTTTCTTTGGAGACCCCAATAGCTGAGCTAACTTTGGCCCTTCTTAAATCAGATCCTGTTGTGAAATGACATTAGCCTCATACTCTGCTGCTCCACAGCCATCTCCACATGGCTGTTCATTAAGTCCTACCCTCACTCTTTTCCTTTAGCTCTGTCTCCCAAAATGCTTGAGAAAATAATGAACTGATACTCTTCCTTACTCAGTATTTCCACTCTAAGGACTCTCAGCAAGGGACAGAGGAGTGTGGTATTCTTCTGGTGTCTCATATTCCTTTGTCCTGGCCAAGGACTTGTTATCCTTCGTGTCTTGGGTTGATGCTTGCAGGCCCCTTGTGGCATAGGCAGCCTCTCTGGACCATCTGGAGGGTTTTCTCTCGGGCAGCAGGGAATGTCTGCACAGCACTGCAACCTGGGGGGTCTGGTCTGCAGCCCCCTCATGCTGCATGTGGATTCACTTTAAATACCATCTGCTGGCTCATGCTCCTCACATCTTGTAGAATTGGGTTAGGTGAGCAGATTGGAGCAGAGACTGTCCTGGAGGTGACTGAACAGTGACTACATTTAGCAGATGTTTTAGGCCTCAGGTGCTGTCAAGCAGCAGGGATCAACTTTAACTTGTCAGTGTGCTGGGCAGCAGTCCTGACACTGGGGTGCACCCTGAGCTGTTGTACTTCTTGCATTTCAAAGTAATTTTGCTCCTCTGTACGAAAAAACCCAATTCCTTTCCAAGGTCTTTTTGAGCTCCTTAAGGGAACTAGGGAGTCACAGAAAGGGCAGCCTAAGTTTAAGAAGTTTAGAGGCCTTTAAACTCAAGAGGTGCAGAGCAGGAGGAGGCCTCATGCCCATGCACCCCCAGACTCATTTGTTCCTTCTTTGCTCGTGTGACAGTTCCAGGTTGGCTTGGTGGCCAAGGCCTTGCCAGGAAGCCTGGATGAAGAGGAAGGTGCTTTGCCATAATACCCTGCTGGCCTGAGCAAAGGATTTATTGCAAATGGTTGTGATGCAGCTTAGCTCTGAGCAAGTGTCTGTGAAATATTGAGATACCTATTTCTACTAATTCTGGGTTTGCTGGCAGTGAGCTCCTGTTAAGAGGACAAATAATTGAAGCTGTTTCCCAGCTCTTCTGAGCCAGGCACCCTGGGCAGCCTCTGCTGCTCCCTGTGCCTGTAGCCCCATGTCCTGCCTTGCTGGGGAGTGGGAACTGTGTCCCAGGCTGGGTGTCACTAGTGGTGGGAGTTCTTTCATGGAAATCCTGTTCACCTCACTTGAATTCTGTTTAGCTTCTGTAAAGCGTGGGGCACTGTGCCAAGTTCTCCATCAGAACCCTGTATTTTAGCAGAAGAGTCACAGGCTTTGCAGCAACTACAGCTGCTGCCAGAGATGTTTCCCACTCTTCCCCTCCTTCTACGTGTGCCTGGGCTCTTGCTTTCAGGTCTGTTATGCATGTGGTTGTCTAGTGGTGATTTCCTTGGCCTAGAAGAGGTGACCTTAGGCCTGAGTGTGCCTGTTGTTTGATTCCCAGAGTGCCCAGCTCCTTCAGCCTTGACTGGTCCTGCATGGATTAGGTTGCTGTTTGCTCTATTCGTTTTCTGTTTGGGTTCCTTTCTAGGTTTTGAAGGCTGCTCCATGGTTCCCACTATTTATCCTCTGGAGACCCTGCACAACTCCCTCTCTTTGCGACAGGTCAACGAGTTCCTGACGTCTGTGTGCAGGAGCTGCAGCGACTCCCATGTCCCCTCCACTGCAGGTACTGGTGGGGTGGCCTTGTCTGGGCAAGCTAGAGCAGAGCTGAGGCAAGGAGACTCTGATCTTTCACAGTGTGAGGAGAGATCAGCCTGGCAGGACTGGCAGTCAGCTCAGTCTCTGAAACCTGTTCCAGGGTGTTCTAGCCCAGGCACTTGCTATGGGGCCCAGATCTGAGCCTGGGCCACTGTCTGGAGAGACAAGGAACCAGTCAGCTCTGCCTGTGGCTGATAAGCACAGTGACATGGATACAAACTCCAGCTTGGGAAGGCTTAGCCTCAGGTTCCCAGGAGCTGCAGGGCATGCATGGCTCTGAATTTGCTCTGCTTCTGAGCTCTTCCCAGACTGCCTGCTTCTGGCAGCTGGGCTATGAGCTGTTCCTTTACATCTGTGTAAATACTACTGATCTGTGTGTTTTTTCCTAGAAGATTTGTTTGATGCAATGATTGGCAGCCAGATGCCAGGAGACCCCTTCATGTCCCAGCGAATCCTGGCCTCGTCCTCCCTGCCGTTGCGCCAGCGCTCGGATAAGCCCCCGTGGTGTGAGTGCTCCCTCCTGGCTGTGGTGGTGAGAGAGGGGAGTGGAGGGTGCCAAGTGGTGGGAGCCAAGTATTGGTGCTCTGGGTTTCTGTGCTCTGCTCTTGAAGGAACAGAAGCAGGAAGGGGAAAAATAGGTAAAAGGGAACTCAGTCATATGCCCTGTGGAAAAGCTTCCAAAGAAAGATGCAAAAAGGGACTCTCTGTAATCATGTGGCATCTGCTGATGGGTGGATGCTGTCTCTCCAGACATGCTCTGCTTGGTGCACTAGGACATGGAGGGCCTGAATGCATCTCAGGTTCTGTGACTCAGTGACAGATGACCAGCCCAGCGTTGGCATGTGGAAATGCCCTCTGTCCTAAGCAGTACACGCCTCACGCAGAGCTCCTGGAAGGTCCTGCAGGACCGTCCGTCGTTTGGTTCTTCCCTCACTGGCTTTTCTGCAGCTCCTGGGCCTCACTTGTCACAGTCTCTGCAGAGCTGGTGACTGTTAGTTCCCTTTACAGATCTGACTGGCACTCCAAGGGAAAAGGGTTGGCCAGCAGTTGCACAGCAAGGGCCCTAGGAACACATGTCGAGGTTGCCACTGACAGAGCAGCCCTGCTCTTCTGGCTGTACCCTCCTTGTGCCAGGAGTAGTGTGTGTTTGTGCAGGCAGCACCATCAGGGAACCAATCTGACTGAAAACAGTTGTTTGATCTCCCCCCTTTATTGGATTAGCTGTAATCTAGCTCTGTTCTCTTGTTTTGCTCATTGTACAATATAAGGCAAGACTAAGCATCAGGGGAAAGGCAGTATTTCTTCTTCCAGAGGTGGCTCTAGCTCAGCAGTCAGGGACTGTGTGTGACCAGGAGGAGCAAATGTGAAGCCCCGTGTTCTGTAATAATGAAGGAATGAAAGACGCTGCTTTTCAGCTCAAAGTCCAACACCACATGTCACATTTTGCTCTATAATGACAGCAGAATCCACACTTGGCTATATGCCAGCATGGCACTGTGTGACAACATGGAAGTGTGGGGTTTGTGCTTGGGTTTTCATCAGCTGAGCTGCCAGAAACACACCTGAAGAGTAGCTGGAAGCCCCTGGTGGGTTGCATGGCATGTAGGTGACCCTCACCCGTTGGTGTAACTGGGGGACTGGGACAGCTTGGGTCTGCCCAGGCTTTGGGCTGGTGAAATATCAGCTAAACCTTTAAGATTTTTTTGTCCTCTTTGCAGACAGCAGTGGCCCCTCCAGTACAGTCTCCAGTGCAGGCCCGTCCTCCCCCACCTCTGTGGACAATCGTTTCAGCTTCACTGAGAAACTTTCCACCAGTCCCCCAAAAAGTGAGGAGCAGCTGACCAGCCAGTTCCCTGAGCAAGGAGAGAGGCAGCCTCCAGGCGGGGGGCTCGACGTGGAGGTGGGGGTGTCTGGGTTGTCAGTGGTGGAGCCAAGTGCCCTGGAGTCCCTGCCTTTGAATATGGACCCCGAGCGAGGCAGAGTCCTGGAGCTGTGCAAGAAGGAGCTGGCAGAGGAGGGCTCTAACCCAGAGGAGAAGAGCATGGTGGAGCTGGATGAAGAAGGATCAGCTGGGGCCATGTTAAAGCCAAGTAACACAGAGAACCCAAAGTGTGGAGCTGGGTCTGATATGAGGCTGGCTAGGGAGGGAGAGAAGCCAGGTGAGGGGTGTGCAGGGGAAAATACTGGCCTGGATCAGTCAGGAATGTCCAAGGAGATCTTCGTGCCCTATGAAGAAGAGCTGCTGGGAGAGGTGTTGGACCCAGAGCATGTGGGCAAGGAGCTTCTGGGGGAAGCTCTGTCAGGCCAGCTTCTGTGTGGTCACCCGTGCCAGGGGCAGCCACTGCCTCCTGAGACAAGCGTGGAGGAGCTGGAGGAGCTGCAGCCACTGTGTCAGGAGGATCAGCAGAATTAGCAGCTCTCTGGCCAGCACACTGAGTGCTCTGAGCCTGGAGCCAGCCCAGCCTCCTGCAGCTGGTTGTCCACAGCACAAGCTGTGTCTCCAGGCCACAGGACTCTGGGGTGTGGAAGAGTCTCCTCCACAGGCAGCTCTTTGCCATTCAGCAAGAACCAATGCCCCATCTGCCTTGTTAAATGAACAACTAGTGCAGTCTTGGCACTGGCATGGCACCTCCACAGAGTAGGACATGGGGCTGCACTGGTGTCCCAAGGGCTGGATGCTCACTGGGGCAGCACAGAGGATTGGTACAGCCAAGGTTTTTGGGGTGGTAAGTCCAAAGGGGAGAGATGCTCCCTTAAGATTTTTTTGGCCCATAGCCTTCAGAGAAAGGCTTTCTGGGCCCAAAGGAATGGGATCTATCATAACCACCAACCTCCTCTCTTCCTTCCTTCTTCCTCTCTCAATTCCCACCACTGGCCATCAAAAACAGGTCCAGAGAGTCCATGGCAGAAGACTAAGAGAAGCACATTCTGAATGTGTGTGGGAAGGAGAGTAATGAGGGGCTCAGGTTCAAGACTGCCACTTGGAAGAAAACATCTCATTGGCGTGGACTTCAATGTTTTCCTGCTAGGCTGGGACAGGCAGGCAGGAGCTTGTGGATCCAGCCTGAGGGAGGTGGGCATGGAGGATACACACACGGGTTGCTTTTTTTCTAGTCTCCAAGGGTCAGGCAGGATACAGCTCTGCAGTCTTGGTGACAGAAATTAAAAGAAACTGCTCTTTGAACAAATCAGGATTGTTAGAAGCCAATAAGGATAAATATTATATATGAAATGAAAAGTATTTAATACATATTTATGTAAGTGACTTGTGAGCACAAGCCTGAGGGCAAGACTGACACAGGTGTCCCTGCAGCACCCTGAGGGCCAGCCAGGGCTGTGCCTCCTGTATTTATGGACAAGTCTGCGTGCTCGTCTGTAGCTAGGATCTGTGTTCTTGTGAAGCTGTGCCCAAAGATCTCTGCGCTGTGTTGTGTCCATGTGTTTTCACAGTAAATCCATGCTGTGGGTCCAGTGTCTGTCTCTGATGCTGCCTCCTGCAGTGGGGGGTGTGTGTGCCAGACTCAGCCGCCTGGGGCAGCAAGCCCTGCTGGATCCCCACTGTCTTGGGAGAAGAATGGTGACTGAAGCCACAACTGAAGTGAGACCACAGGTGTGGGACTTTTAAGAAGGCCAGACACTGCACCACCACAGAGAACTGGTCATACTGGGAAAGAGGTCCTGGTGTCCTAGGGCAGTTTGTGGCAGAAGGCAGTTGCTGGCGCAGCATGTTTGGCTTCTTTCAATTGGTCCACAGCTTCTCATCAGTTCCTGGCACATCCTGCGTACCATGTTCCCTTCCTCATGCCTGAATATCCCCAGCTGCCCGTTTGGGTACTTGGGAAAGGTGTTTCTGTGGAAAGGCAGGTGCCGTGCAACTGGCTGGAACACAGCCCTGTGCTGGGAGGAAGCCTGGCCCGTGTCCCAGGGGCTGTGCCAGCAAGCTCTCCTGGGGATGCATGCCAGGGTCTGGGACAGGACCTGACTCCTGTGGGAGCTGCTCCCTGGCTTTCCTGGCAGCCCTGCCACACAGGCAGCCTATGGGCCTGCAGCCAGACCCTGCCTGGGACTGCCAGGTCCTACCTGCTCCCCTGGCCCAGGCCCGTCCCGGGGGCCTGCAGAGCTGTTGTTTTCTGCTGAACGGCTGAAATCAAGTGACTTCCCCTTCAGGATGGGTTGGAGATGAGCAGAGGTGCAACAGGGACAGGCAGTGCCTGGCTGGCACTGCAGGGATCTGCCTCCCACTGGGCCAGAGACAATTCCAGTTCAAGGAATGCCAGCTGTGCTGACCAGAGCTGCCATGCTAGGCAGAGGGCCAGGATGGAGATCAGAGCCAGGAACCATGAGCAGCAGCAGCAGGACGGGCTGTGCATGCCCTGCCCTGGGGCTGTGTCCCCACCTGGCCTGCTCTGCAAGGGCCTGAAAATCCTCCAGGGGATCACCCTGCTGCGGGGAGCAGGTGTCCCAGGCAGGACAGGCCCCTCACGCACATTTTAGCAGCTTCGAGTGCAGGTTGGTGTGAGTGGAGAAGTCGGAGCCCGCCTGGATGCGGTGGCTGGGAGGCAACTGGAGGGCAGGTCTGGCAGGAGTGTCTGTGCCTGCTGCCCACAGCACAGCCTCACCCAAAGAACAGTTTGAAACAGCTGGGAGTGCTCTTGTTCGCAATTAATGTGGCTTTATTACTGATGTGTTGGGCTCCTCTCTTGACAGCAGTTACAGAGTGTTTCACATGGAAATGGGGAAAAGGACAGAACTCAAGGAACTAAATTGAAACAAACATGATGCTGAAGAAAAGAATCAGGGCTCTGTTCTTAAAACATTTAGCACAGAAGAAGCTAGGAGCACAAGTTGCCATTTCAATACAGTTAAGACGTTCACTTTTTTAATTATTGGTTTAAAATAGTATTTTGTACCTATTACATACAGGAAGATTATGCGTTGTTGCCCACATGCAGAAACAAGCAAAAGCAGAGTTTTAACTGTTTCTCTCTATAGTGTTGTATTACCTCTGGCTCTGGGTGGGTTCTGCTGGCTCCTGCAGGATAAGCAGGGTCAGACTCTTTACAGATTTGTATTTTTACAAGTCTTTTTCCCCATAGTTTTTTAAGACTTGGGAGGTTAAGGAGAGGGAGGGGAAGGGAGGATGAGGAGAGGAAGACAGAAGAGACTGCCACATAAAAACTAAAAAGAAAAAAAGAAATGAAGTGTGGAGCCTTGAGGACAGGGAAGCAAAGTAGTGTAGGAGAAAGCTGTCCAAGCAGCACAGCTGTGGAGTGCAGGAGCACAGCAGGCAGGCAGGGCTGGCACTGAACACGTGCCAGCGGCCACGCTCCGGCCTGGAGGATGCAGGCACCTTGCAAAGCCTCACTATTACTGCTGCTCAGTCAGAATTGCTTCAAGTTTAAAATTGAGAAAACATTCACGTGTGGGTCTATCTAAAGTTAGTGCATTAGCTTGTACACCTGGGGCACGGCTGCTCCTCCCGTGCCTGCCTGTGCCGGCAGCTGGGCCAGCACCTGCTGGTAACCAACATGCAGGGACACTGACCCCACCGGGTTACAGAGAATGACATTTATTCTTCTGGCAGACACCGCAGTTCCGTGGTTAAAATGAACACAGCAGAGGGCAGGGATCTGCAGGCCCCCCAGTCAGTGCTCGTGCTCCTCACTGGGGCTGGCTGCTCCCAGGAGCCACGAGCCTCAGGCCTTGTCCTGGCCCTGAGAGGCAGCCCTGCAGGCTGCAAGATCCCTTTTGCTGCCAACCAGTTTTCTGTGGTCAAAAATGTTGTTTAAATTGCAGCATCTAAGTATTTGTCTGAGAAACCTCTGAACTGACGCTAAGAGCACACGGTGTCATGTTAACAAGTATAAATTAAAATATTAAATCCACACAAAATGCAACTTAACATCAAAAAAATAAATATATAAATTAAATGCAAAATAAACCATTTCCCTAGAAACTCCATTTTAGTTCTAGAAGCAGGTTTCTAAGCAGCATTTTCTTTACATCAGCTGCTAGAAGACTAGCACTGAGACTGCAGTGTCTGGGCAAGCACAACACAGGCCCCAGGATGCTGATCATGGAGCCAGAGCTCGGCGCAGGGCCAAGTATAGGGGTGACACAGCAGATGGAAATAGCTCTGAGTTGCAGTCAAGCCTTGCAGCACTGCTTTCTGTCTCATCTCTCCTTCCCCAGAGAACACCCTCCTGCCACTCTCTGTCTTACAGACAGAGAAAAGCCATCTGTGTGAGAAGACCCTCTTGCAACGCCCCGGGACGTGGCAGAGGCTGGTGGGGGCTGCAGGCTCAGGGCACCTGAGCACAAACACTCCTGGAGCTGCTCTCCTGCAGGGGCTGGGAGCCCCACAGGGAAGGGCTGGCATTCTGGGGAGGCCCTGGGAGACTGCTCAGCAGCAGCCATGCGCTGGGCATACACCCACACTCCTGCTGGGATGGCCGGGGCGCAGGGACGTGCCCAGGGTGTGCGCAGCGTGGCAGCTGCTGGCAACCCAAGGCTGCGTGTCCCTGCCACCAAGAGCAACTACACTGACTAAACTACTTTTCCCCAAGTGTGTTTGGAAGGAAGTTCTCCTTCCTCACACCACAGGTTCTATTCCCCACCTCCTGGACACTCGGGGACAACAAAAAGCTTGACCAGAGCTAAGAGGCTTGTGCGGCTGCTGCTACCCCGGCCAGAGCCTGCCCAGACCCTGCCCCTCGCCATGGGGGCTGCTCAGCTGCCTCACCATGCTCCTCAAAAAGCCTTTGGTTTGCAAGGAGACAAAGGTTTCTCGTAAGTCTTAGGCCGACGGGTTGTTTCAGCCCTTCTGCTCCAGAGGGGGCTGTAGTTGTGCGTTTGGATACTCTTTGTGTCACTGTTCAGGCAACAGCCCCTCTGCCACCTGTTGCCGCACTGCTGATGTGCAGGAGCAAGTTGGCCGCTTTGCACACGCAGGTGTGCAAAGCTCAAGTTAGCAGGTTAGGAGTGTGCTCTTTGCAGCAAAGAACAAGATGAACCTTCCCCTCCCACCGCTGCCCCCACACAATCGTGTCCTCCATCCCAGCTCCTTAAGCACAGTGAGCAGGAGTTGCAGGATGCCACAACCAAACACCTGGGACAGAAACCTGCAGAGCTGGCAAACGGTGGTCCTGCCTAAATGGAGTGCAGGTCCCCTTGCTCAGAACACCACCTGTTCAGGATGGGAGATGGAAGAATGACCTTCACTGTCATGTTACAGCTGGCGGTTTTTGCCTTCCCTCATCTCCCAGGCGCATTTTCTTTGTAAATTAGTTTTCTCCTCTGCCCCCTCTGCCCCCCCTGCACTGTCTACATGCAGCAGCAGCACTTCAGCCCTCACCAGAAAGATGAGGTTCATGGTGCTACAAGTTAAATGGCAAGGCAGCCAGGAAGAGAGTAGAAGAAGCTCTCACAGCAGCAAGGCAGCAAAGATAGTCTACAGAAACTGTACAGGCAGCAGAATAAAGCGGGGAAAGTAAAGTGCCCCTGGCCTGCAACTGCTCTTACACAAAACTCTTTAGCTCAGTCCAGAATATTACAGAGCACTGCACTTCATTCTCATGGCATCCAGTGCTGAGCTGGATGGATACCTGATTGCCTGACAAATGGGAACCATGTAGAGGACTAAACCAGAGAAGAACTGGGCTGTGATTAGATGGTGTCTCTGATGCTGCATCGGTGATTGGAGAGTCAATGGATGAACACAAAGTGTGGGAGGCTTAGAATTCAATCTTACAGGCTGGAAAAGATTCATCCTGCATCACCACAGTGCTGCTGCTTGCCAGTACCATGATGTTTAGCTCCTGCTGTTTCTCATGGGTCTGTTGGTACCATTCTCGTGTCACCTCGGTATCATGTGTTGGGATCAATGTCACCTGGGAAAAGAAAGCAGCAGGGATGATTGTCTGAGAACAACCACAGTGACAAACAAAGCCCACAGGAGCAGAGGCTAAAATTTCCCATTATTTTTGGCACACTGTACCCTTGGTACTGCTTGTTCTACTTAATGTCTTTCAGATGTCAGGTTCTCTAAGGCAGAGCTGGTGCTTTATTTTATGCAGTACCAGCACAATGGAGCTCTGAGCTGGCTGCACACTGGCAGCACTAACACCACAGAGATGAAAACGACTGCAGTGCAGGGGAGAGCAGCTCTCTGTAAAGCTCCAGAAATAGCCTTAAAAAGATCCCTCAGTGTGAGAAGGAACAATGCTGAGAGTGTCACTGTTAAGGGCCTGATTTTAGACTCTCTGTGTCTATTGACCCAATGTGCAACTCAGAGACCTTGAAATCTGAGGCTGCTTTATCTGAAACAGACACACTTTCTTCTGAAAGCAAGCCCACCTTTGGCTAGGCTGTCCTGAAAACCCAACTAAGCAAGAACTATCTGTAAGAACACTCTGGTTTAAAAGCACTAATAAAATGGTGCCATCAGAGAGATCTTCAGCAAGCTAGACTAACAACAAATCCACTGGGTGTGGGACAGAAGGGATGAAAACTCACTGCTTGTTTCCTTGCGCCAAGAGGGCAGTCCTGCAGCAGACAGGGAAGAGTGAATGATCTCTGAAAGCTTCCTGCCCTCAGAAGGATGTGGAAAGGAGGACATACCTGCTACCACTCACACCGCTTTGTGGGTGGCCTCCTCCTTCTCCTCTTGGGTACAGTTACTCTTCTAAGACTGCACAGCAGGACACGCCCAGCACCCTTTGCTTCCTCTTAGCATACACCCTCTGGGCGTGCTTGTGACACACACCTCCTCCCCAGCACTTGTGACAAGGAGCACCAGACACACGCTTTGGCATTTCCATGACCTACCTGCAGGTTCTCCCCCCAGTGAGACTTCCCTTCCAGAAGAGCATCCAGCACTGCACGGCTTGGTTCTCCATTGGCTGCATCATTCCCACTCACAACATAATACGATGCCCGAACCCGCTTGAAGAACTCTGGATCCGTGTTCTTCCCGCTGCAATGGTTGGGGATGTATGCCAAGTCCACATAGACAGGTGGACCCATGGGCACAGGCAAACTGCTCTTAGGACTATTGGAAGCTTAGGAAAAAAGAAAACAGAGGCCATCAAAACCCTTCTGGAAAGACCAACACTCAAATTAACACTGAAGAACTTAAATTCCAGAAAGGTTTTTCCCTGTAGCTGCAGCAACAAAGTTAAGATTTACCCAGGACCTGCTGCTCAGAGGTGACTTGGGTGCATTTCTGGGCCCGTGCTGTCACAGCTTTTGGGAGGGAAAGGGAGTTCTGCTGTTCTTTAGGGAGGGACTGGAAGGCTTTAGGCTCACAGGCCTTTCCTCGGGAAGGGCATAAAAAATCTCCATTATTAGCTTTTGCAGAGTTGTCACCCCAGTCAATATTTAGTCTTGATTTTTGTTGTTTAACAACCTATATTTGCTAAAGAAACCTTTATGTCCTACCTCAGGGTATTACTGTAGTCTTTCTGGGAGATCCATCCTGGCTTTCTGCCATCCCTGTGACTTGCTGCTATTCCAATGACTCTATTGCTCTTTCCTATCAACCTTTTGTACCTCCGTCATTTGCTGCTGCTTACATTTACAAAATGAGAGATGGCCAAGCAAGAGTTGTTATACTCAGCACAGTCCACAGAATGACTGTTCCTTCTTTCCATCCTGCTCTCTGTGTGAATCACTGAGGATTCTGTCCTCTTTTTCCTTTCATATACTATCTCTGGGTGGTCTCCTCTGTAACCAAAAATCCACCAACTACTGGCACAGACAACTCGTGCTGCCTGGCTGCTACACAAACAGAAATTCCCTGCTCGTCTTAGCCACTCCAGTCCTCATCCCAGCTCACAGCTCTGCTCCATGCACAGCCTCTACACCCATGTCTTTTTCTCACCCCTCCCTTCAGACTCACATATCCAGGCCCTGCATCCTGCCAGTCCTTCCCGTGCAGGCCTCCTGGTTGAACACACAGACATGCTGATCCTGGAGGAGGCTCTCCCGGCTGTACCCGCCTGCCTGCTGCAGCTCAGCTCACACACACACTGGGGGTCTTTTCAGGTCTTCCCCTCAAGCTGCTCAGGCTCAGGAGCTCCCTGTAGCCCCCTTCAAATCCTCCCTCGTTTCTTCTCCCACACGCTCTCTTTTCTAGTGCCTCTGCAGACCAGAGCGCATCCCCTGCGCTCCAGCTTCAATCTCCTCCCCCTGCTCCTGCCCATCAGCTGCTCGTGCCTGACACAGCGTCTGGGATCTGGAGCACAGGATCAGCGTTTGCTCTGTGCCTGCAAAGTGCCTGACTGGCCAGTCCTGTTCCCTGTACTGCTACTTCTAACCCGGCACTTTTTCTCCCTGTTGGACCTAAAGAGAAAATGGAGGTTTAGAGAAGAGCCTCTTACCAGGGTTTGTTTTGAGGCCATTCACAAGGCTCTTGCTAGGGTTGCTGTGACTACCCCGGGATAACTCTTCCTCTGTGTGAGGAGGCTGTGTCAGAGCACTTCGAGGTTTGGGCTTCTCTCCTCCATCTCTTTCTTTTTTGGCAGTGACAGATTTTGGAGATTTGTCCGATGGCTGTTTGACAGGAGTGGGTGATCGTTTCCCTTTCACATCCGATTTCCGGGCAGGTGAGGAAGATTTGGGTTTGCTCAAAGGCTTCCTCACACCTTTGTTCTTTTCTTTTATGTCTTTCTTGGAAACTTTATCAGTTCTGCTCATGCTTTGCTCATTTACCAGCATATCAGGGTCTACCATGCAGACATCAGGGTGAGGAGGATGGGGATGGGGATCTACCATTGGAACAGGCTGAGGATCATGACTGGACCTAGAACTGGCATGATGAGCATTCCCAACAGCTTTGTCCACTGGGAGGAAATCAGCATCTTCATCTGAGTCCATGTTGGCATCTGCTGTGATGGATGGACATTCTTCTGTCTCAGGTGGGACATCCGAGTCTGACTGTGAGGTTCCAGAGTCACTCACTGATGTTGGAGGAGTTTCCTCCACTGTGGCACTTTGCATGGGGCTACTACCAGTGTGGGGTGGTCTTCCTTGCACTGAGGGATGACCGTCCTCCTGGGAGAGGTCACTGTCTTCAGAGAGCTCATGAGGGCTCGGGTTGATGAATGAGGGAGAGAGCTCTCCCTTCCTGTGCTTGTACTCATATGAGGAGAATTTCTGTCCACTATCAAAACTGCCTCCTACACGTGGCTCCATCTCATGGGAAGCATCTCCATGGTCCTCTCTTTTTCCATGCCTTTGTGTATCTGGGAAAAAGGGCTGGAAACTGTGTTCAGGGGACATCAGAGAGGAAGGACGGCTCTGCCTCTCTGTGTCCTCTTTGCCTGCGCATGGAGAAAAACTGCTGTCAGAATCAGGACATGTCTTTTCATCTTTTGCCTCTGCTGCATGGTATGTACTTTGGAAAGCTTGCAGACTGGTGCTCACCTCTGTTGGACCATTGGCAGTGGTTTCATCTTCATGCTGATGATGAGGAAATGATGCCAACACATCAGGGAGAGATGTCAGTGTCATCAGCTGCTCTGCAAATGGTGCCTTCTGCTCCAGACTGCTCACACAGGGGGATGGGTGTTTCTCTGCAGAGAATGGTGTGGGCTGTGAACTCTGGCACTCCTCCTTGCATGGCAAAATGGTGTCCCCCATGCTACTTGTGAATGGAGAGACACGTTCTTCAGCAAACACAAAGTCCTTGGTTTCAGCTGCATGTGTTTTCACAGCGTTATCTGGAACCTGTGGAGACACATCCCAAAGACTCCTGGTACCTGATTCTGCTCCTGCACCCGTGTGTGTGGAAAGCATATGGGAGTAGAAACTTTCTGCTGTAGTGGGTATCACAGGAGTAGTAGCTTCAGAGGAAGGCTCCTCTGACAGGCTGGAAGAGTCATCTTTCAGCTGCTGTTGGGACACAGACTCTCTTTCCACAACTTTGGAGAACAATTTATCTTCTTCATATGGACTCAGAGATGAGAATTTAGTAAAAGATGAGTCAAGACTGCTGATTTTCTCAGAAACCTCCAAGTACTCATCTTTCTTCCCCTGGTCTGAAATCAAAGCACAAGGAACCTTCAATGGAAGAGAGATATCCCCTAAACGGCTCACTGAGGTTTGCTCATGTCTGAACATGGTGGATGTTTCACTCTTCCCTAGTAGGGAGCAGTCAAGTCTAGCTGGGCTGTCCATCCCCCTGCCCTGTCTGTGTACTTGCTGCTGTCCTCCCAGGGCAGATGTCAGGTATGTGCCTTGTTCTTGGCTCTCTGAGGCCAGCACTGCACTTGGATCTGTTACACAGAAATGGGATTCCTTTGTAGACTTCTCAGAAACCTCTCTCTTTTGTGAGGGATCTTGCCTTAAATGACACATTTCTGAAGCCTGCTCATCTCTGCCTGTGTCTGGCAGGTCACTGTAACCAGCAACACGTGCCCCCCCAGCAGCAGCTGATGTAGTTTTCCCACCTCTGTATTCCTCTCTCCACCCTGGATCAGAGGGTGAAGAGGCAGTAGAACTGGGTGATGTGGACTCCTGACACTTGCTTTGCAGAAGGGGTTCAGACACCTGAAGCTTGCCCATTGCTGAGATGTGTGCATAGACTGAGCCTGCAGCTTCCTCAGAGCTGTACAGTTTACACTCCTTCTCAGATTTCTCCTTGGCACCTTTTTCTAACTCTGAGTCACTGGTGATTTCTTCCCCTCGTCCTGCTTTCTCATAATATGTATCTTTGAGATTTGGGCTTCCAGATTTCAGGGACAAAAGTGTCTGCTCCTGGCTAGACAAAATGATGTTCTCATCTGGACGAGCAGCATCAATGTAGGCAGTGGATTTGCCTCGACAGAAGGTGTCAGTGGTGCCTGCGGGTGACGGGTGCAGGTCAGAGTCCAGCCCTCCCAGCAAAGCAGAAGACACCTGCTGTTCTTCCTGTCCTCCAGGCATCCTAGGCTTATCTCTTTCAGACAAGGGCAAGTATCTTTCATGGATGTCTGCATAGTCAAATGCTGAATCTGCTTTGTCTCTAGGGGATACTGGAGATGACAGCTCCTTCTCAGCAGAGGTATAAAGGCAGGACTCTTCTTCCTTTGCAGAAATATGAAAACTTTGACCTTTTTGGGAGATGAATGCTGTTGCTGGCCCCTTGTCAGGGTGACCTGGGCTGTCTGCACCCTTGGGTGTGAAGAGGGAGGGTCCAACCCCAGATACAATCATCTTCTCATAGATGTCAGCATACCTGAAGCTTCTTTCATCAGGGTAGGGAGTTGGTTCCCTTTCTTCTTGTTCTTGTCTTGTAGAACTGTCATCACCTCTGGGTCTGCAGATCCCTTCCTCACAGGCATAAGGCTCAGGGGAGCTCCTGGAATAGGCCTCTGGAGGATAAGCCACTGGGCTGTCAGAACCCATGGGCTCAGCCTGCCCTGGGGCAGTGCTGCTGCCCTGTCCTCGGGGGGGCTGCTCCGGCACTGCAGCTCTTTCCCCTGGGGGGGCTGCCATGTACTCGTATTCTTCTGGTCTTGCAGCCTGCAACAGAGCAGATGCTGCTCCTCTCTGCTCTTCTCTTCCTGTAGAATCATAAAGAAGCTCAGTGGATTTGCAGTCATCCTCTTGCTTTCTATCTGACTTGTATTTACAGTCCATTTCCTGATACAAACCACTCATGTCTGATTTCTGCTCTGTGTCCTTCAAGGGCACTTCTACCCCTAGGGGTGGTTTGTACTGATCTAACTGGTGAGGCCTTTCTGCTTCTGTTGTGGTGTCACCCTCCTTCTTCTCTCCTGTTCCAGAGAGGGAGGATGCTGTCAGTGCTTGGTCTAGTGACTTTGCATAGATATCTAGGACAGCTTTCTCCTCATCATCTAAGTAGGAGTAATCTTGTTTAGATGCCAACAATTCTTGCCTTTCTTTGTTTCCAGTTAATGCTTTGGCCTGGTTTTCCTCTCCAGAGGCATACTGAGAAGACAGAAGAGAACTTTTCATTTGTGTTCTTTCTGGGAAAGTGATGTCAGCAGGACCTACTTCCACTCTCTTTGTTTCTGATGTAGGCTTGGCACTCTTCTGTGTGTCTTCTTTGGACTCATATGCTTCCATCTTTGAAAATTCTGCTTCTGGTTGCAGTAGCACAGGTTTGTCTTCAGCATGATGGAGATTCTCATCCTCCTCAGTGGGGAACTGCCCTCCTCTTTCAGTCTCTCGCCCTTCCTGAAGATGCCCATATGCAGAGCCCCATGTTTCACCTTCTGCTCTTCTCCATGTGTGACTGCTGGGCACTGCAGGAGACAGGATCTCCTCCTCTCCCATTTTAGAAAGGGATTTTGATTCATATTCAGGTGCCTCGTCCAAGAACGTGCTCTCTCTCTCTTTATCATATCTCTGCCGCCTTCCCCTTTCTGGGAAAGTGATGACAGCAGGAACTACTTCCACTCTCTTTGTTTCTGATGTAGGCTTGGCACTCTTCTGTGTGTCTTCTTTGGACTCATATGCTTCCATCTTTGAAAATTCTGCTTCTGGTTGCAGTAGCACAGGTTTGTCTTCAGCATGATGGAGATTCTCATCCTCCTCAGTGGGGAACTGCCCTCCTCTTTCAGTCTCTCGCCCTTCCTGAAGATGCCCATATGCAGAGCCCCATGTTTCACCTTCTGCTCTTCTCCATGTGTGACTGCTGGGCACTGCAGGAGACAGGATCTCCTCCTCTCCCATTTTAGAAAGGGATTTTGATTCATATTCAGGTGCCTCGTCCAAGAACGTGCTCTCTCTCTCTTTATCATATCTCTGCCGCCTTCCCTGAAAAGGGATCTCCTCCACCTCTTCTGGAAACCACACTTTCTTCTCATAACTTAAATCCTTCATGTAAAAGTCTTCCATTTCTGGAGATTTTTCTTCTTGAACTTCCATGAATCTGCAAGATTTTACACCTTCACCAGCAATGTGTGAAGATGTTTTGTCTGCAGTTGGGCTGGGTTCTGTAGAGCGTAAGCTCTCTGCATCTGGAGATACTTCCTGAGAGTCCAAGCCTGTAGTTCTTCCCCTGAATGGGCCCTTTTCTGCTGCTGAAAATAAACTGTCATCTGGAGACATTTCTTCAGTTGAAGTATCTCTGGGTGGCATGTCTTTAACTGAGCTACTTTCTGGGCAAGGAAAAGATTTTGACACTTCTTTAGGGAGTTCTTCGGCAGAAATTTTCAGTGATTTTTCATATGTCACTGGGCTCTGCTCTGTGAAACCTATGGATTTCACAGCTTCTGAAGGGAGTTTGTCAGTAAAGTCAGACACAGTTTTTTCTTTCGCAGATATCTCTTCTGTGAAACTAAGAGATTTGATGTCTTCTGGAGAAATTCCTTTAACAAAAATGTCTGAAGATGTTTCCTTGTTGGGACTCTCAGTGAGAGAAATGGATTTGCTCTCTTCTGGAGAAATGTCTTTAACTGAAACATGCAAAGATTTTTCTTCTTCTAAGGCGTCTTCTGTGAAATACGGCAGTTTTCCTTCTTTACCAGTCACTCCCTTAACAGAAATATCTGAGGACTTTTCTTTACCGATACTTTCCTCTGTAAAAGAAAGTGATTTGGTGTCAGCTGGTGACATTTTTGAAGATTTGTCACTTTCAGATTTGCTTTGGCTTCTAAACTGTGCAGGATGCACATCTCCTAGAGATGTTTCTGTGGCAGAGAATGGCTCAAAGGACAAGTGTTTGGAAAATCCCATTAAACTTTCTGACATAGTTTTAGTTCCTTGATCTTTTTCTGTCTTCAGAAACACATCTGTGCTGGGATGGGGCAGCATGGGTCGCTCCTCCTCCTCCCCTATCACCACTGTGTCCTGCTTGTGGTAGGAGAGCCAGGGCAGCTCCTCCTTCCTCACTGGTTCTGCCTGCACCTCTTCCCCATGAGACACTGGAATGTCACTGCCCAAGTCCAGTTTGTGCTGCACAGATCCAGGCACTTCTTTTTCATGTCTGTATTTAGCTGCAGACGTGTCTTCACGGAGAGGTTCACCCTTGGCTGCCTTCACCACAACAGAAGTTTGAACTTCCAATTTCTTGACAGTAGCATCTGTTTGTTTTTCAAATAGCTCTGAGTCTACTGTTTCTAGTTTTTCCTCCACTGGAGACTGGTGGAAGGGTGTGTGTCCTGCACTAGTGGGGCCAGATGGGGTGGGCGAGGCCATTTTGACTGTGCTGTCATCAGGACTTGTGCATCGCTCCTCAGCCTCTGCAGAGTCAGCCTGGGAGAATGGTGGTTCTTCAGTGGACAAAGGCAGGCCAGAAGTTGGAAGCACTTCTGTGGAAACACTGATTAACACATTACCAGGACACCCTTGATGAGTAAACATGGGGGCACTGTAATGATCTCTGAGTTTCTGAGGCATTTCAATATTCGGAGTCCCATCTTCTTCTTCCTCTTCTTCCTCTTCATGAAGATCCTTTTTCTGAGCTTCGAGTTTTCTCTCTCCCTCTGCTAATGCATGGAAATCTTCAGGGGGTGGAGATTTAAAACATTTGTCTTCCTCCAAGGATGATGTGGGAGAGATTGTGCCAGCAGAGGGGACATAGTCAAGACCTTGTGTTGCCTCAGTCCGAGAGGAGGGCATGCTGTTCCCTGTGTCGAGGAGCAGAGAGCTCTTCCCAGTCTCTTCTGTCTGAGGTGCTGTTAGAGATGCAACAGATTGATCTTCTGCTACTGAAGTTGCAAAAGATGAAAGCTTATCACATTCTGTAATGGAGGTAGCAGAGGATATATGTTCCTCTTCAGCCAGAGGTGCTGCCACAATGTTTGTAGGATATGCCAGGATTTCAGCCTCCTGGGCGGCGTAGCCCTTGGCTGAAAGGTCAGCACTAGGCACGGCCTGTATTCCATGTACTGCTTCAAAAGAGCCTGGCTGGTCAGGAACAGAGATGGCATAGGCATTGACATCGTACTTCAGGTGTGGGATCCTCTCTTCCTGCTCATCATGTATTTCTTCATCAGAAATGGTCTGCTCTGTTTCTGAGTAGCCTGGGATAGTTTCATCTTGGATATATGAAACATGTTCTGCTGCTGCTCCTGGTGGGACTGGCAGACTGCTCAGATACGACTCCTCCTTTGTTACATCCTTTCCAAGTAATTTGTTTTTCTCACCCATGTCACTAAATTCTTTTTCCTTTTCTGTAGTGGTAAATATTTTCTCCTTCCTCTCATCCTGATTCAGCTCATAGATGTCTCTGTTCTTCTCCACCTTTCGCTCTGCCTTCATGTGCTGTTCTTCCTTTTCTTCCAGTTCTGCCTTTTCTATCACATCTTCCCTCTTTTCCTTCTCACCCTCTTCCTGTGCTTCTGTCCCCTTAAGGTACTTTTCACAAGTCTTCGTTTCTGCTTCCCTCTGTTTTCTGTCCAAAGATATTTTCTCCTCTTCCTCCTTTTCTTCCTCTCCAAATGCTGATGACTCAACACCCTTTGCTAAGAGGCTTGTCTGTGATGGGACCCGTTCTTTGTCTGGAAACAGCTGAACTTCCTTCTCCTGCTCAGCTTTTCCCTCACAATATCCCATGTCACCCTTTTCATCTATTGTTCTTTTTTCATCTTCTATTTTTTCAGCATGACCTACTCTCAGTTCTAACTGCTGGACTGCCTTTTCCTTTGCTGGGGATTCTTTTTCCATATCAATAGTAGTTATTCCCTGATCAGGAATGTTTGTTTTCAAAATCAGGTCCATTTCAAGGCAACTCTCAGGAATTGTGTCAGCTGAGTCTTTTATCTCTGCTTCAGGTACCCCCAAAGTCTTATCACTAACATCAAAATCGGACATTTCTTGAGTCACCTGCAAGGCCTCTTTCTCCTCGTGCTTCAGTTCCTCAAAGTCCTTTGTAAGGTCTTCTGGTGAAGACAGGACTAACCTCTGCTCAGCCAGGGAAGTCTCTCCTGACTCCACATGTACAGGTGCCTTCTCCACTGGGGATGCCTTTAGGTCAGCA